TACGATTTGGTATAATAGACTTCAATTCAACTTTGAAGAGGCATAAAAAATCTGGAAAAAAAGTGTGTGATGCCGTCGGCTGAAGACTTTGTTGGGAGTCAACTAGAGTTCATCTAAATTCTGAAAAGGAAAATAGCTTTTGATAGATTAAGTTCGTCTTGAGATTATTAGATATAAATTAGGATTATTGAATAATAATAATATATCTATATTAGAAAAATAGAAATTGACAAAAATACCAACGAATGACAAAACTATTGAATTTTATAAATTTTGGACGAATTTTTAAAAAATTTCATTTTTTCATTTTTTTTTATTTTTATATATTTTTTCGCCCATTCGGTTTGATTTTAAATCACAATTAAAATTCTAAAACCTAAACCAAACCATTTTTATCGGTTTGGTTAAAAACCATTTCATTAACCGGGTGCACGTGGCACCAAATCGACGGTTTCTAAAATGATGGTTCGATTCGATTTTCTGGTTTGACGGTTTTTACTTACAGCCCTAGTGTAAACCCTTATGTACGCCCTAAAATATACGTATAGCATTACCCATTTTTGAAACATCGAAATTCGTAGATTCATATATAGTTATAAAAAAGTAGTATCGTATGTTTAATCGTAAGAAAACTTGACATGAATAGAGGTTTGGAGTTTGAGTCACTGAATTTTATTTTAACATTGGAATTCTTAGCATTCATTTTTTGAAAAAAGAAAAACAGAAGTTATTCATTTTTATGGTTTTTGTGTAAAATAAGTGTCAAGTTCATTAAATACAACTATTGTCCTCAAGTTTAAGTTAAGAAGAAAAATCCATATTGTTTGAAAAGTATTCATTTATTGGCTATTATTGTAGTCAGCAAATAACAGAGTCCGTTTGTTATGGTTTTGCATTCATCATATTGTTTGGCAATCCATTGGAAAGTGAAACTGTTTAGGTCTTTATTTAAAATCTCTTTTAATCGGATAAAGTATTTTTAGAAAATTATAAAAACAAGCTCAAAAGTTACTTCGACTTTTCAGAAACCTTGATGCCAAATGGGTTCTAAATGATCTCTTGCCTTCTAAAGGAGATTTAGCTCAAGTTGAATGTGCTTTCAAGTGATTTGAATTGTTAAAATTTGAGTGACATTATGTGATAAGTCCGATGAAATATGAAATTATGTAATTCATTTACTTGAACATTTTATTTAATGACATTTATTAGTGTCATCTAGACTGATATAGTAACACCAATGATGCTATACAACATTACTCTAAAAATTTATGGTGGAAAGCTGTTTATGTATTCATGCTTGCAAATTTTAAAATCAAAATTTGATGCTTCATTGTTATTAAAGTTATTTATAAAAAACTTGAGTAATTCTATTTAGCACTAATTTATATGATAGGTTCAATGAAAGGTGAAATTTATGTTATTTATTTCATTGAACATTTTATTTAATGACATTTATTAGTGCCATATAGACTAGTCTAGTGACACCAATGACGCTATACAACATTGCTCTAAAAAATTTTGGAAAGTTGTTTTTGGGAGGAAGCAATGTTTGACATATTCTTCTAAGCATAAATACAGCTTATATTTATTATTTAATGCAATGAATTAGACACAAGTAAACATGATTAAAATGTGATACTATGGATCAATTATCTTTCTTCATAGCATCCAATTCAATGTACAAAATATTTTATTAGAAGGATTTCATAAAATTTAGAACAAGAAAAAATCAAGGCCCATATTACACATGTTTTAATTGTAGAATATATAATGTCGAAAATTTTATAAAATACGTTTTGCAAATAGTATACATACTCACATACTAAATGCGGATCAAGCATGTAAATTCAATAAACACGACGACCTTAGATCATTGAACTCTCAAATTACCTGTCGACAACCAAATTTTAGGCGAAAGCTCCATGATTTTATTCAATATATCAAAACAACAAGTCTTTTAACATATTTTAAATACCCCCGAACAATTCAAAGGCTAATTATATTCACATTACATTTTTTCTTTAGTTGCACGATATTTGAATTGCATTTAAGGTCTCGATCATTGCATATTATAGCACTTACGTTTCTAACTTTTTTTCAATGTATAATTATCTTTGAAATTTCATTAATTACCTCTTTATAGCAGTTTTCATCCAAAAGTCTGTTGAAATGGCGTAAAAATGATTTAGTTGTCCATTATATTTTTTTTGAAAAAGTTAAAAAATATATATATATTACAATGAGCTAAGATTGATGACTATGATCCAATTGCACAAAGTAAATGCTGAATCAAAATTTGTAACTTATTTCAATGTGTTGAATTGTGGTTACGTGCTAACATAAGCATAACATATTAAAATTAAACAGGCAAGAGACTATTTTGGTCTTGCTTGAAGTTGATGGGCGCCTATCCACCACCGACTCATTGCAGGGAAATAACAAATCAAAATAGAGAACATGACACTTAAAAGACGCTCTCAACCAATTTTATTTTATTTCAAATTTGAAAGGATAATTTTGTGGTCCTGTTCAAACATGGGGCCTAATTTAAAGTAAATTTTGATCCAATTCAGCGTCCTGGACGGATAGGACCACGTGCCTCTGTCCGTCCAGCAAAGCTCAATTTAAAATTACGTTAAAAATAAAGTCATTTTTCATTTATGATTTAAAACAGAGATGGTGAATTATTAATATGTTGAATATTAAAGTAAATAACTGAAAAATCAGCATGTAATTATGCAATTTTTGAAAATGAGGAATTTGTAAGGAAATAAGTTCTTTCAAATTAGACATAATCACGTGAATGAGATTAAAGCCTCCATTTGGCCTTCATTCTTGTCAAATTTTAATGGTTGAAATAATATTTTTTTGAAAAATATATAATTGAAAAAGAATAAAATTTTTTTGATTTGTGTATAATATTATTTTATGAAAGATTGTGTGATTGAAAATATAATAGAAAAAAGAATGAGCCCCTGTTTGAGTCATATTATTGTAAAAATGAGAATGAAAAATATAATCGTTATGAACCTCATACAGGAGATAAAAAGTTAAATATAATGGCTTAATGTGATGAATAACGATTATATCTGAGAATGAGAACGAGGATCAAACGGAGGTTAAATTAGGACAATTCACAATTTCAATCATGCAACAAATTATTTTAATTGACTGGAAAATGGTACAGAGAAAAATCTGTGTGAAATTGGTGGCAAAATTTGTCATGATTTAATTTTTTATAAAAAAAATATTTGCAGCTTTGACTGACATCACCTTCTTTCTTCTTTCGCATGGAATCCACAGGAACCACACGTTTTATTCTGTGTACAATTGAATGATTTCTCAGCAGGTTCTCAAGTAAGATTATTTTATTGTGAAATTGACTGACTTAAAAGTTACGAAAACTTATCTCTTCTTTCTGTTTTTACATCTGCCAATTAATTTCAAATTCTGTGCTTATCATCATCGCCTCCAATCCCTTCAATCAACTCATATAAAATTGTGATAAGTAAATTTTTTTTACTAATAAAACACACTTTTCCAAACTATCTTTTAAATACTATTAGAAAATATCTTCTATGTGTCACTGGTTTGGGATTTATTTCTTTCTAAGAAAGTTCACTTTATTAAAGTTGATTGATTGGTTTCATTGTTACCGACCTCGACAACTAAAGTACGATCGGTATATAAATTACATGAAATATGAGCAACAATGGACTGAGCCTACATGTACTCACAAGCTCGGCTCACGAAGGTGATTAGCCGAATTCAAGCTCGTTCAATTTTTTAAATTTATAGTTTTTTACTTTTTTATTTACATTTTTTACAGCTTGTGGGCTTGTGACGAGACTCTCGTGAACTTGACAAGCCGAGTAGGCGAAAATCACCTCAATCGGCTTGTCCCCGAAAACGAGCTCGAGTAATCCAAGTGCCGAGCTTTGACTAGATGAGCCGACGAGGTATTCGATCCTTTTACCACCTCTAGATAAGACAAGATAAAGGTTCAAATTAAAATTATTCTTGACACTTGAGTTATTCTTCAAATTAAAAGTCACACCACAAAAACAAATTAAGGGCCAGTTTGACATAAGTTTTACTTTTGTTTTTGTTTTTTCTAGAAGAACTTTTGAAGGAAGGTAGCTTGATTTTTATTTGAAAATTAAATTTCAAAAGAGTTTCCTATTTAAAAGTACTTTTAAATGAAGTTACATTGGACCAATTTTTTATAAAAACTCTTTTAACTACCAAAAGTACTTTTCATAAAATTAGTCAAATTAATCCAAAAACAACTTTGAATATCAAAAGCTCTTTCTAATTATAAATAATCATACCAAACGGACCCTAAAAACATTTTGGCAAGTTTAAAATGTAAATTTAACTTTTAAACAACTTAATGTTTTATAAATATGTTTAGACAGATCTAAAAGAATTACTTTCTCTGGAAAGTAATATTAACTTTTTTTAAGCCGAAAAAGAGAAATAAATGCGAAAGCAAAAGAAATTTTTCCAAATTAGAAAAGATGAGTGGAGGAAAATAAAATATTGAAATTTTGTCGCAGCTTATAATTTCAAGATGGTAGGCGGTTCGAGCGGGAGAGGCAATATCTGGTGAAGATCTCTGCTTTCCAACTGCATAAATTTTAGGTTTAACTTTTGTGGACCCCTAAAAATCTCGAAAATTACAATTTATAGATTCCTATTCAATTTTAACTCTTTATTCTCGTAATTTGTAATTTTTCGATTGTGTAGAACATATTGTTTAAAAGTTATTGGTGATAAGGTCAGTAAAAAGTAAAAACACACTTATCACCATATTACTGCCAGATAATTATTCTAATGGGCCCCACATAGAAAAATAATTCAAACAAGTCCAAATTTTAGAGAATCTCGCGCCGGATCTTGACAGCTTCAACTGTCTTGCTTTCTTAGCCGTCGGATTCAACAGTACACGAATTTACCATTTTACCCTTGAAACTGGCTATAAAATAGTTGCTTTACATCAGGAAAAAGAAGAATCCCATAGATTTGCTACTACAGCCGCCGTGCAAGCTTTTGAGGGTTTTCAATTTATTTTTCATCTTCTTTCGTTTTATATATCAAAATTAGAGGCTGCCCAATTAGGGAATGCAGAGAGATGAAACCAGCTCCGCTTGGTAGAGGCGGGAGGGCTCAAAGACCATCCACTGGCGGCCGGAATTGCCACCGGAAACACGTTGAAGACGGGTGAACCTCTGCCGCCACCACCCGAAATTCTTACCAGCTTTCATCTAATTCTATTTCTCTAAACGTACAAAGTTCGTTCTTTTCTTTTTCAATTATGACGACGAGATCCGACGAGAAAAGTGCCGTGTTGCATGGTAAGTATGAATTAGGCCGAATTTTGGGCCATGGCACGTTTGCGAAAGTGTACCATGCTAGGAATCTGCAGACGGGCAAGAGCGTGGCTATGAAAGTGGTGGGCAAGGAGAAGGTGATTCGTGTAGGGATGATGGATCAAGTGAAGCGTGAAATCTCTGTGATGAAGATGATGAAGCACCCAAATATCGTTGAACTTCACGAGGTAATGGCAAGCAAGTCCAAAATTTATTTTGCCTTGGAATTAGTACGTGGTGGCGAGTTGTTTGCTAAAATTGCTAAGGGTCGCTTGCGCGAAGATGTAGCCAGGAATTATTTCCAGCAATTAATTTCGGCAATTGATTTTTGCCATAGCCGTGGTGTATATCACCGGGATCTGAAGCCGGAAAATCTATTGCTGGATGAAGAAGGTAATCTCAAGGTAACAGATTTTGGGCTGACTGCATTTTCAGACCATCTTAGACAAGATGGCTTGTTGCACACCACGTGTGGGACGCCAGCATATGTTGCGCCGGAGGTGATCGGGAAAAAGGGTTATGATGGGGCAACGGCGGATATTTGGTCATGTGGGGTGGTTCTTTTTGTGTTGTTAGCTGGATATCTGCCATTCCAAGAGGATAACCTAATGGATATGTATAAGAAAATTTACAGGGGTGATTTCAAGTGTGCGCCTTGGTTCTCATCCGAGGCACGAAGATTGATCACCAAGATGTTGGATCCGAATCCAGGTACGAGGATAACGATAGCTAAAATCATGGAGTCGTCCTGGTTCAAAAAATCGATGCCAAAGATTTTGATGACTAAAGAAGAGCAGGAATTTGCGATTGAAGATGAAGTGAATATTGGGAAGAAAAAGGAGGCTGAGACTTTGAATGCTTTCCATATCATTTCATTGTCTGAAGGTTTCGATTTGTCACCTCTTTTTGAGGAGAAGAGGGTGGAGAAAGAGGAGTTGAGATTTGCAACCACTCTGCCGGCAAGTAGTGTGATTACCAAGTTCGAAGAGGTGGCAAAAACCTGGAATTTTAGCGTGAAGAAGAACGATTCAAGTGTCCGATTGCAGGGTCAAGAAAGTGGAAGAAAGGGGAAGCTTGGAATAACTGCAGATATATTTGCTGTGACACCTTCGTTATTGGTAGTGGAGGTGAAGAAATCTAGTGGTGATACTTTGGAGTACAATCAATTCTGCAGTAAAGAGTTGAGACCTGCACTTGAAGACATAGGTTGGACATCGGCCACTGGGAATTCACTGCTTGCTTGAAGTGTCCTACAAGTTCCTCCAATAAATCCCAGGTGGGATTTAAGGATTCATGTCTTGGATGTTCGATTATTGTTGTTTCGGATGTTTCTTTTAGGAATGTTAAGATTGAGACTTACATAAGTCTCTGAATTGAATTATTTAAATTCTGGTGTGTTATTTCTCTTTGGTTGAATCCTCTGTTTCAGAATGTGTGTTCATATGTTTCTGTGGGTATGTATCTTCTCTTTGAAAGCAACTTTGTAATTTTTACTTCAAGTGGTTGATTGGCTTTTATGTGTAAATGGGGCCATTTTATAATTCTTTATTGAATTATTGATACTATATAACGTTGCAGTAATTTGAGTGCTTCAGTCTTATTTGCAATTAGTATGTTAGGTATATTATTTCATGTGCTTTGAGAAATGTGCTTTGAGGAATTCTTTGGGAAGGCGAGAAACTATGGGACAATCACCCTCTTTTGCAATAATAGTAAACAAGGATAAGGAAAATAGGAAAAATAGAGAGGGATGAATTGAATTAATAGACTAGATCGAGTCTTGAATCTTTAACATATGCTTAGCAAAGTGAGTATAGTAAGTGATTCAGTAGGTGGATTTGGGTTTAAATTTCGAGTTTTGCAAAAAAATTGCGTCAAATTTTGGAGTTTTGATTTAGTTGGTCCCAACTTTTTCATGAGTTGGGGGATAAGAAAATTGTGAAGTAGGGTGATCTAGGAAAAACCTTAACATTATTGCTCGTCGTCAATTATTGTAAGATGACACAAAATCTTTGCATAGAGTCGTCTTCTTATCTAAATACGTGATAGCTTCATTTTCACAAAAAGTATTGAGTCTCGGATGGCCATTCACAATTCCTTCATTTCTGGCAAACCCGATCGGGAGTGTCTTTATTCTAATTTTGTTACATTACCTAAAACTCGAAGTAATAAATATTTCTTGAAAAAATTACTTCCCTCACCCATTTTATGACAACTTTCAATTTCCCCTATATTTTTGTTCCTTTAGTAGGCCTAGTATTTCCAGCACTCGATTCATATACTTCTTCTCTTGATCGAAATAAGAGAATTGGATAGAAAAGCTAAAAACATTCATGGTTGGAGGGGTCGTGACAATTCTAGCTACAGTAGTGTCGATCATTTATTGGACTTCAACTCCATTAACAACCACTTATGAATTTTTTTCGATTTACACCCCTTATCTCAAGTTTTGGATTGAACTAATCCATTGACACAAATAGTTCATAAGAAATGTAACCAACGTTTATTGGAAAAAGCAACCCCAAAGATTTGGGACCCTAAAAATAATAATGATTTGGAATAAGCATGAGTAATCAAATGAAATAAAGCACTTCGATAAAACCCCATTCCTAGAGCTAACATCATATAACCCAATT